TAATAAATTATCTAAAATAAATCAATCCATACAACTACAATAATAAATCAATCCATATTTTAAAATAAATCAATCCATACTAATAAATTATTTAAAATAAACCAATCCATATTTTAAAATAAATCAATCCATACTAATAAATTATTTAAAATAAATCAATACATACAACTACAATAATAAATCAATCTATATTTTAAAATAAATCAATTCAAATTTTAAAATAAATCAATTCATATTAATAAATTATTTAAAATTAATCAATCTATATTTTAAAATAAATCAATCCATACTAATAAATTATTTAAAATAAATTATTTTAAAATAAATCAATCCATATTTTATAATAAATTATTTTAAAATAAATTATTTTATAAAAAAATATTTTAAAATAAATTATTTTAAAATAAATTACTTTATTAAATTATTTAAAATTATTTTAATAAATAACCATATTTTATAATTATTTTTGAAGAGGTTTGAAGAACTTTGAAGACATAAAACCATGTCTGCACCAAGAAACTCGCGCATAGTTTCTATCTTCTAAAAAACAAACGGTCTGCGAAGCCTAATGTTACGCGTGATCTGCGCGGCGCATACATAAGAGGTTTGAAGAGGTGAAACAGTGAAAACAAACACAAGACTAGACTATCTGCCTTTGACAACTTGAAACAGCGTCATCTGCAATATATTTTCTCTAATCAGTCCCATATTTATCATTGAACTAACAGTATTAGCTTTCATTTTGGCTTTTCGCTTGAACAATGTGTTTAGTCCCGTTGACCTTTCTTTTCATTGATTTGCAGGAAAACACCAGTGATGATGTACCAATGCCTACATACTTTCGCTTCCTGGCCTTGCTTGCCTTTAAGATTTTTGCCGCAGAGAAGGTTTGATGTGTGTTATGATCCTTCTATTTGAAGCTGTTTCCCCCCTGTTGCTTCTTCCATTTCATGAGCATCCTCTGCTAGTGAAGCAAAAATAAATATTGCCTTTAAATTATACATGCAGGTTGATGTTGCTATTCGCCTATTCTGGAAGTTGGTTTGGGTGGAAGGTTTGATGCAACTAATGTGGTATGTTCCCTAATTTAGTTATCGAATACGCTAGATGTCTGCCAATCAGAGCGTATAATTTGTGGCCTGCGTAGTGCTGAAATATAATGTTAGTGCATATCTTGTTCTATTTTTTTGTCAATATGTGTTATTTTTTAGGTTCAAGCACCCATTGTGTGTGGTGTATCTTCCCTTGGATATGACCACATGGAGATTCTTGGTTAGTGTTATATATATATATATTACATCAGTTAATCGCTAAAAAATGGCCTAAAACAAATTTCTCATAAGTGTATTGTAGTTAATAACGTAATATAAATGACAGACCCCTTGATAGTTTTTTGAAATTGCTGAATAAGATCTATGAGAAACAAAGAAGCATTTTAATTTGTATTGCATTACTTTAACATCATGCAGTAAATTCATAATATCAATGCTTTTTTTAACCTCATGTTGGCAACCATATTTTCATTACATCTGTGAGGTTTCATTATCCGGAGCACTTGAAGTGACAGTATTGTTAGACTTGCTTTAGTGTTGTCTCAATACTGTACCGGTATTGGGTGTGCTGATTGTGCTGGTCTTAAACTGGTACCAAGTAGTTTAAGTTGCATCAGGTCAAATATTTTGTTGTCTATCCGCTTCCTCAATTTAAAGTATGGAATCTGCTTAGGGTCCCTCTGTACCAACTTTCTGAGCTGTGAGAAATAGTTAATGCTAAAGATTTTGCATTCTTTTCTTTTCTGGATGACCATAAACAGGAAACACTCTGGGAGAAATTGCTGGGGAGAAGGCTGGTATATTTAAGGTGCTTTTACTTTTAGAACTATATCGATTTAAAGCATATGATAAGAGTCTGTTTCTGTGTTGTGACATAATTTAAATCGACCTTTTCTACTGCAGCGTGAGATACCGGCATTTACCGTACCTCAACCTGATGAGGCAATGCAGGTGCTTGAAGAGAAAGCTTCGAAGTTGAATGACTCAACTTGTATTCAAATTCTGGATTTTGCCTTGTTCTAAAGGACATTAGTTATGCTAATCTGAAGATTATTATGTTCTTCACAGGTAAACCTTCAAGTGGCGCATCCAATTGATGCAAGTTCGCTGAATGGTATGAAGCTTGCACTTGAAGGTGAACATCAATATTTAAATGCTGGTCTTGCTGTCGCACTGTGTACTGCTTGGCTTCAGAGGACTGGTCATCCTATCAGCAATTTCAATCAAACAGTGGGTTCTATTTATTAGAGGCTTTCTTTGTCTGCATTCTAACTATACTGTTTGCTTAGAAGTTGTTTATTTCCTTGGAATAGGGTCCATTACCTGAACCCTTTATTAAGGGCTTAACAACAGCTAGTTTGCAAGGGCAGGCTCAGATTGTCCGTGATCAATTTCCTGACATTGAAAATCTGATTTTTTATTTGGATGGAGCTCACAGTCCTGAAAGCATGGAAGCTTGTGCGAGGTGGTTTTCTCTTTGCACAAGGGATGACAATCACCAATCAAACCAGAATTCTGAGGCACAACAGCAATCGGATGAAAGATTGAAGGATACTGCCCAGGTAGAGTACCCTACTTCGTTCCACAATAATTTCCGGTGTTTAGAACTTAAACGTAAAAGAGAGTACTTCATCCTTACGGACATAAGTGGTCTTGAATGTTGATGATAATCTCATAATTTACACATTTGGTCTCATTATATCCGCTATTCAAGCTTTTCTATTTTAGCAAGTCAAAAGAATCCATCAAACACGCAGAGTATGGTGCTGACTTGTATGTTGCTTATGAGTTAATAGTACTAAGGATAATCTTAACCTTGGAGGGTATTGGGTTTTCAGAAAGCTTCGGAACTCATCAGTTTGATGATTGAGTTTATAAAACTCAATTGCTTCTGCCGCGCTTGATGAGGACATGTTCCAGCCATGGTAATTGCTTTAGTTAGAATTTTATATCCATGTGATGGAAAGCATGATAAATGCATTTGAGGTTCATGAAAAAAGGGTATTTCTAGAGGAATGATTATGTTCAAGTGCTTTAATCCATATACTTGGAGGATTATATCTCCATACCCATGTCTGAATATATGTCGTATATGGATGTCAAAAACGGTTACTGTAAGAAAAACTAAGATTCAGAGTGACATAGATAATAGCGAGATAGGTTTATATTCTTCTTTGCATTGAATAAAAGGTAAGATTCATCTTGACACGAAGAAACTTCACATTTCATGTCAAGGGGATGGCAGGATGCTTGCTCGGACAAAGAAATTTATATATTATGTTCTTTACTATCTGTTAATCATCATTTCAGGTGTCCGTTTCAGGAAGGCTCTCTTTGTGCCGAACATATCAGTGTATCACAAGGTTGGTTCAAATACTTTACCTACAGTCGATCCTCAAGTTGATTTGTCATGGCAATTTGCTCTTCAAAGAGTGTGGGAAAACCTTCTGCAGAATGATAAAGGTATCCACCTAATACATGCCACACATTCTTCTTATTTTTCAAAATTCATAGTTTTTTCTTATCAAAAAAAATTCATAGTTTATATCTAACGGGATTTACTTCCCTTGGATTAAAGTTCCATTATCTGCATCATTTGAGTGAATTGATTTTAATAATGATCATCGCAAAATGTGCAAAGTAATAAGAGACATGGTGCTTAATCATGGGTGCTTTTGTCCGGTTTTGTTTAAGACGATGGTTTTCTGCAAATGCTAGGAGGGGAGGCCAGTAACACCGATCAAGTTATTGAAGAAGTGAAAGACGACACAGGAATAAGCGTTAGGTGTTGTAAAAACAGTCTGTCTTTTCTTCTCTACCATCCGCTATTAAATGGCTCAGGGATACTTCCCAGAAGGACCGATTTGTTCGGTTTCAGGTAATTCTTGAGATTATAAGCTCATGGTCGTCAATGTTTACCTGCCTTTTGTATATAACAAGGTTAGAATACTTCAGGTTGATTTCCTAGCTATGGTACTTTAGAGTACTTTACGGATTTCAACCTTGTTTCTATAGTTGTTGAAAGTGTACCTCGTAGGCTTTTAGAACATGTAGGGTTATGCATGAATCGAGCCACCGATTTGCTAGTCTTAATATTTTAAAAGTTGTATCCTCTTTTCTTTGACTCGAATGAGTATCTAATCGATGAACGTTGGACATTTCGGATATGTGTCCCCGACACGTACATGCTCAATATTTTAAACATTGGTAGGGAGAATTCAGCAAAAACTTGACTATAGGCATACCCCATTTATACCTGTTTTATCGGGTCTTGTTGAAGTATTCATGTCGTGGTTCGGTTGTAACTTTTTCTTTTAATGCTTATGACCCTCCTTTGTTCCTCTTGGGTTTGTAATTTCCCTTTTCTGATTGATTATGTCCTCGACACTGGTTCCTTGCATCTCGTCGGCGATGTCTTGAGATTAATCAAGAAATGATGCTGAATCTCCCTATGTCATGTTCATGTAACAGATAGAACATGGATTCATTTTGTTTACCGAGCGAGGCAACTTCTCCACGGTCCTCAACCCGCCTGCATTAGGCTTCCGAAGTGTCGGTTTTTTTCGAGGGGTTGCTAGTTTAGGTAAACACCTTCAGTTATGAATTTCGAAATTGGCAAAACGTTGATGAGCAAATGAATTATTGTTTTTGAAACATGTTTTAGACTAATCCAACAAAACATTGAAAGCAATTCATTTTGATTGACAAATTGAATTACAAGGCTCAACAACTCTTATGCCTCTACCCCTATGGTAGATGTCTTTATGGGTCATTTGATCTAAGATCTGTCCTAATACCGTACAATCTCTTCCACGTCTCGAAACATGCTCCTCTATGGCTAGACTCAAGTAACATCATGCCCGACTCACCAAACTCGGTCTTTCCTCCGATAATGATGCCATGGGTCGACTCATTAAGTTCTGTGCCATTGAAAAATGGAGATTTGGACTATACCCTCCACCTCGGCCGCATGCTTTCATCAACAATACCATCATCAGAGGTTACTTGCAACGACCCTTTTCTACTTGCCTCAGCCGGATCGTTTTCTTTTAGGTAGTTGGCCGAAGGAAATGTCCAGCAGTTGGCAGGCTGAAGAAAAGAAAAAAAGGAGTAATTGAAAAAATGTCCCTAAAATGCTTTTGATTTACAAAATGACCCAATTAATATTTTACTTAAAGTTCAGGGGTTAAAATAAAATTTAACCCTTTTATTAATATGTCAAGTCATCAACCTTTAAATGGTTTAACGACCATTTATGTTAATTAATCATATCTTAATTAAAATGAAACAAAAGTGACCACATATTAATTTTTTTGAAACGAGTTACCATACATTTATAAAAATGAAACAAAAGTGACCAACGCTGTAGTTTACAAAATATTTAATTATCAAAATGGAATAAAAACTTATGTTCAGTAATAATTTTTAACAAAAATAGTTTAGTAATTAAAATGAAACTGTTGGAATAGTTGAGTAATTATCAAAATAGTTGAGTGCTTTTCTGCTCAATATTTGATAAATGTCCATCAATATCTTCTGGAAAGCTTTCTCTATGTTGATAGCTCCAAGCGCCGATGTCTCGAGGAACAATAGTCCTTCCTTCTCGGCCAAGCTCTCGGCGTCTTCCTTCGACACCGCTGGGAGGTGGTTGAGATCCGATTTGTTTCCCATCATCATGATCACGACGATGTTCATGCCCGCATGGTCCCGGAGTTCCTTGAGCCATCGCACGGTGTTGTCGAACGTTTGCCTTTTGGTTATGTCGTAGACGAGAAGCGCCCCGACCACTCCTCTACAGTAAGCGCTCGTGATCGCTCGATACCGCTCCTGACCGGCTGTGTCCCATATCTGCACTTTAACCGTCTTCCCTTCTACCTGAATAAAAATTACGATTGTATATATATTTACGGTGGTTGTTGGTATAACAAATGTTAAATTATATAAAAAAAACACTTATGTGTAAATATAGATAACCTTAAGGGTCTTTGTTGCAAATTCAACGACAATAGTAGACTTGGATTCCAAGCAAAACTCATTTCTCTTAAATCTCGAAAGAATGTTCAATTTTCCGACGTCCGAATCTCCAATTAGTATAATCTTAAATAAATAATCGTAATCATGACCCACTTCATATGCCATTTACACTTTTATCGAATTCCAAAGCCGCTAGACGGAAAGAAAAAAGAATTAACATAATTGTAAAATTCTAAATTCGATTTCTCAATGGTCGCATAATAATCTGAAATATTACAATAAATTAGAAATCAAAATTCATAAATTAAAGAGGGAAGGAAGAGAAAAGACTAACCATAAAGGGATTGATTACTGGATTAGTATTTGATTATGGATAGGCAAAATGTGATTAGTGAAATTCCAGATTTTTGGTGATTGTTTTGTGGGAAAGTTTTTGTTTTCCCATAGCCAAAGAGAGAAAACAACAGAAATTTTTTCCTATGAGCAAGCTCAACACGAATAATATTACAAATAGCATAAAAATTAACATTCTGATCCCTAGTCACGCGACGGAATTGCCTAGCATTCCTCTCTTCCTAGACGCAATTTATTTCTCCGGTTACACTCGATGTTAGTATCAAATTCTTTGGACTATACCAACTATCAATTGGTATCTCCATTGATCTAACAAGATAAGATGTTAGGTCACATATTTTCTCCGGATTAAGAGAATCATCCTATGATAAGATATAATATTTAATCTAGATTAGTCGATCAATAAATTAAATACCTTATAACAAAGAAAACAGCCAAAATAAAACAACGAACTTAATTATTTGCCCCAGAAAGGAGTAAATACATTTCAACCCCAAGAAAACAGTCCCTTTTTACATAGAACCAAATATCCATTTCAAGTTCTATAATGTTAACCATGTAAATACGGTACCAGTTACTCCTTCCAATATTTCAATCCCATGTCCCGGAACCACTGCAAATACCATAGCAAATCAGCGTCTCCGAACTCGCCTGCCGTTTGGGTTCATGGATTCTGCCACAGGACCTTCAGCTGCGAGATCCATCCCATATACACTGCTGGCACTCCTCTTCCGACTTGATAGCAGGCTTAGGCTCTCCTCACTGGATGCAAAGGCCTTCAACAGCTCCGACAACAAACACGGGCAAGATTCCTCCAAGTACCTGAACCCTTCCGATTGCATTACCGCTGCAAAAAGTCATTGGGGAATATAAATTAGCTTACATATTACCATTGCCAAACAATTGCTTTCCATCGACCTCGGAACTACACATGCACAGGTTGTCAATAATTGATAGGCCAAGCTTAAGCAAAAAGAAAACATATAATTGTAACAGAATCGACTCCAAGAGACAACAAATACTGAACTTGTGCGTCCAACAAAATTACATTCAGGTGAACTAATTTTCGAGGATACATTCCAATATCCGAAGCATTGAGCAGTTTTGACCAAAGGAATATTGTGCTCTAATTCGTCTCCCAACATTTCACATAACAGTTATATCTAAAACCTGTTTGAGGGTTAAGGGATTATGACATTAAAGATGGTTTAGTACTTGAAAATTGAAATATAATAATCCATCATCACGAGCTAGACATGAACGAGGAAACACAAAAAGAATTCTAAAGTTGTAAACACAAAAACCAAGTTTACATAACCTGGAATTTGCACTGTAGTCTAGTACGAACACGCACCTCCCAAGTTCGCCGGAGTTGCAGCATATTTCAAACATATGGCCTTCAGCTGTGCACAATGGTGCAGCTCAGCAAGTGCGAGGGTCGTTGCCACCGTATCAGCATTAAGTTCTTCGCACAATTTTGCTTCACACAACACTTTGAGTCTATCTAAATTGTACAGATCAGCAGCAGCCAAAAGATGCTGCACCATGTTGGTTGATGTACACAGAGATGTTGAGTCTGTAATCTCTTGTACATCAGGAAGTTTGTCTGTATAAATAAATAAGAGCATTGCCTGGAAGAACAGACAAGGTTTAAGATGAATTCTTGTTCAAGTTGATTAGCCAAAAAAGAATATTAAAAAGCACATCTAGATAGCTAAAATCTATACTTGGCAATGGTTCAAAGCCGGTTACTGGTTGAAGGTTGATTGTATTTAAAAAGAAGTTTTAAAGGATTATGTATAACAAATTTTAATAAAAATATGCATTTAACAAATTTCTTTCAAGGGTTTGCTCATGCAATACACTAGTTGTAGGTCCATTCTTCAAAGTCCAAAAGAAAGTAAAAGGAAGCATCACCTTGAAGATAGAAGGCTCAAAATCTTTCACTACTACTTTATCCAATTTAGGGTTCCCAACAAGCCCAAAAAACTGTGCTTTGAAAACGGGTGAACGTGCAGCAAGGATCAATTTATGTGCTTTAAACGTCTCGTCACCAACTTGAAAAACTATATCACAGCCATTTTCAGACTCTAGCAAAACTCTTAGATTCTGACCCATGTCCGATGGTGGTACAGGAATAGAAGACAGTTTTGGCCCCTCAAGGCGAGTCCTGACAACTCCAACAGTGCAGTTCATGACTAGACAATCGTCCTTTATGTAGTCAGAACTTTCTAAAGTTGTTCTTCTAAAGAATCGTTTGTATCCCCTGAATGCATGGAAGAAGGAAGGTAAAAACATCCTTATGAAAATATGATACGGACTTATACATATACCATATCCAGTGAACATATAAATTTAACATCTCATGGAAAGAATATTATAGTAAGACGTAGAGCAACTTAGATGCTCAATATGCACATATTTCAACAAAAACACAGACGACCATATAACATTTAAAGTGAAACTAAATGGAAATCACCAGCACGTTTCATCTAAAAGAGCCAGGTTTCATTTCCTTGCTTTATGTCATTGCCTCATTGGGGCTTGTTCAGGTTTGCTTAAATTATACAACAGCTTCTATGTTGTTTTTAACTACCTCATAATTATTGGACACAGATAAATTTCAGTGTAATACTTTGATCCTCAAAATAAAGTGAAAGAGAATTTGCCAAGAACGTAATGCTTCCCAATTACCATGTCCTAAAACAGCACCCAAATTTATCAGCTTCATCGAACAAAAGCATAATAAAAATTCCATATCCCCTATTCAATGGACCTTACAGCTACAACACAGCAAGAATACATGAATGACTCAAATATATACCTTAAACACAATCATGGTAAGGATAAACTTATGAACACGAATAGTAATAGATAAATTGCTGAACCCCGTTTTCGATCAAAATTCACCAACATATATACCCATTTAATAATCATAATAGAAATAACAAGTACCAAATAAATATCAGATCCATTCTCCCAGCAAACAGATAACTAGAGTTTTAAAAAAGAAGATAAAATTACTAACCAAACCCCTAAATAATAAAACTCAAAATTCTTACCACATGCTTCCTCTATATTTCAACGTATAAGGCCCACTCTCCAACGCTCTATCAAAGTGACTATGAACCTTATGCTTCCCTTTCCCGCTCTGGTCAACAAGGGTGAGCTCGAAAAGCGCTCGAACATCGGTACCTTCGCTAGCCAGCGCAATGAAAACCGAAACATACATCGCACTATCCTCCGGATTTTTACCGTCGGGATAAAAGTAAATCGCCCAATCGTAACCTCCGACGGTAAAAACATCGCTGGATATACATTTCCCAGGACCCATCCCTTTCGCCAACGAATAACCCTTGATCGTGAATTGGTGTGACCCGTTCACCGTCTCGCACACCGATTTTGATTCCGAGTCCTTGAAATCTTCCATGTTACTTTTCTTTTCTTCTTTTCATCGAGTTCCCCAAAACCCTAACCCTAATTTCATTTCTTAGGTAAATTTGGAGAAATTGTGAGGGTAAACTGTGGAAGATAAGAGGTTAAGGCTAGGTGACGGGATTGTGGCGGCAGCAGCACCTGCGCGGAGGCGATAAAATGACCGAAGGGAAATGTAAAAGAGGTTTTCGTTGAGAATTTTTTTTCTTTTTGCTTCGTGGAGTTTATGGGTTGGTTAAGGCATGTGTAAGCTATATATATATATATATATATATATATATATATATATATATATATATATATATATATTTGAATTGTATGTCCAGCTCAGTTGGTAGAGCTCAAGGCTCTTAACTTTGTGGTCGTGAGATCGAGTCCTAGGTGGACAATTCATAATTTGGATGTCTCCCACGGAAGCTACTTTCAACCTAACGTTGGGGCAACCTATTATCATACCTCCTCTTATTACATTATATATGGGAATCAGTATCAACTAATTATTATATTATGTAAAAATTTGATTGTAAGAAAATATTTATTTTTATATAAATTATAATTAAAACTAAAATATAAAACATATTTTTATCTACATTTAATTACAAATATGTCGAATATTTTATAATAAATTTTTTTAATATAAAATATATAATTTATATTATTCTTGATTGAATTGGTGTAATTAATTAATCAAATATCAATTTAATTAGAAAATAATTAAAATGTTATCATTTTAAATCAATATAGTTAGTACTAAGGATGGTAGACGAATACAATTTCGTGAATTTTGCACTGCACTTGTTTTAGTTGTACATGGATGAATATAAGTTTAGTAGGTAGTGAACGAGTGTGGATTTAAAAAAGTCATACCATTCGTGGGCAGTGAGTAGGTGATGAATTTAAGATCTTACACGCTCTGCATCCACCTGCCCCACACCTATCCATCCTCTAATTACCTATCATATAAATTTTAGATCATTATGAATTTAGGTTCCGTTTGTTTCAAGGAAAACAAATTCCGAAAAATAAATTTCGTAAAATGAATTACATTTCCTAAAAAATATTTTCCAGAAAACATTTTGATTATCTGACTTGAGGCTCTCCTTCAAGAGTATTGCAATTACTTGAAGTAAATAGAATAGAAGAGAGATAGAAAAACACTTACTTCAAAACAAAAATGAAAAAATGAAGGATAACTCTGAAATTATAAAAGGGGTAACAAATATTTTAGTTATCTGAGAAGATGAACACCAACCTGAGCAGCCATCGCAGGTGAGAGGGAAGTGACAGTCGGATTATTTTGGGTGTTAGAGAGTTTTGTAGTTGAAGTTGTAAAATGACCTACTATTTTCTAAACGATAAGTTGTTTTACGGGAGAGAGAGTGTGATTTTCCTTTGACAAAATAGTTTTTTCTAAAACCAAACACCGGAAAACACGAAAAACATTTCCTATAAATTGTTTCCCCCAAACAAATAAACCCGATATAATTTCATAGACTATTATATAAATCTTAAGAATGCATTTGCTTTAATATTTTGTTGTTTATGTAATTTGTGAGGTTATTGTCATGTAGATATGAGCTGGTGCAAGCGGATAAAGGATGGCGGTGAGTATCCAGTTAAGTAGTAGGTGTATGGTAGATTTGAAAATGTACATGCGTGAGTGGGTGTGGATTTAAAAATTTTATTTGTTGTAGGTTCAAAACTTTATCTGTCGTGGGTGATGTATATGTAAATATTAGGTGGGTATGAGGATGAAGAAATCAAAACCCACCACTAGACATGGCAAACTTGACCCGAGTCGATTTATTCGACTCAATACCCGATATTAATTTGAACATGATGATCAAATTTGATCCGAAACTCGAACCATACATGAATCAAACCATACATGATTCAAAATTTAGCTAACCCAATATGGATTCGTATCCAATTTGACTCGAAGAAAAACAACCCGAAACTGAAATTAACCCGAATCGAAAGTAATTCAAACCGAAAATAATCCGAAATGAACTTAACCTGATCCAAAATTAGCCCAAACCGAAAATAATTTGAACTGAAAATCTATATATACTTGATTAGGCTTATAACAAAAATTAAGTCTAAATAATAAGATTAACAAATAAGAAGACGTATTGTTACAATAATATATATATAATTTTATATATGTTTGATTAGACTCATAACCAATTCAATCAGAATTGACATGATCTAAAGGTCGACCAAAATCTAAAATCAATCGATTTGATATTGGCTCGATCCGAAATTCAATCGATTTGATATTGACCCGACCCGAAATCTAACCGATCCGATTTGATTCTAACGAAAAACAATCAATCTGATAGTCACCCGATCTATTACCTGACCATACTCACTTTACCATACACACGAACTAAATTCGAACCAAACAGAGGGCCGTGATTAGAAAGAGAGAGACTTGAGTGGGATCGTAATAAAGGGGAAAATATCGACGATGCCGCCTTTTTTTTCAAGGTTTGGTGTCTCGATTTCTTTCTTCTGCCCATTTCCAATCTGGCTTTCCCCCCACAATGACTTGAAAAATCCTAATTTACACTTGATATGAGCCCTGAATTTCTATTTAAAAAAGGATTTCTGTCTTTTGTATAATATATTTGCATTTGTTGTATTTATAATGAAGCAAAGCAATTATTTGTAGTGCTTTGTTTCTTCAGCAACAGTGCAGAAATTAAACGCTTGATTCTTTTATTGAAAAATAAACAAAAATCAAGCAGCGGCCAGACAACCGTAGATATGGTATCCACAGATGAACGGCTCTTTTAATCCTTTTGTCTACTGATTCCATCCCACATTTTTTAAATTTATTTTTTTTCGTTAATTATGGAATATAAATTACAAGATAAATTGGTAAATGTTCTATTTTTTTTATTAAGATGTTAAAGGAAAATAAACGAATAAGCTGAAGAAGCAGAGGGAACTCGCTGCTGCAGTGAAGGAGGAAGAGAAGAAGAGAGAAGAAGCAAAAGCCGCAGCCGCCGCTCGTATTCAAGCCAAGTTGGGCGCCAAGAAAGGTCAAGGAAAAGGTAAGGGCAAAGGCAAATAGTTAATGAAGGATTTTTACATATCAAACTGATGAAGTTTCATGTCAGCCATTTTAATGGTGATTTCCTTAATGTTGAAGAAGTGTCACTTTTACCTCTTTTGCTTAAACTACAATGTTGATTAGGGCCCTTCATTCGGAAAGTTTTACGGTGCGACACTCTTAATATACAATTAAAAAAAGCTTACAATACGACACTCTTAATATATAATTAAAAAATGCGTTATCGGTTTTGTTATTATTTAAATAATAAAACCGGTAAACAATTACCTAAAATATTATTATTTCTGTTTAAAACATCAATATTTTTTAATATTTCTGATAAAGTGTCCAACAATAATAAAATCGGTAGAAATAATAATGTTTCTGATAATTTTTTATCGATTTTATTATTTAAATAATAACAAAATCAATAGTATTTTTTTAGTCATATATTAAGGTTGTCGCACGTGATCATTTTTTACTCTAGAACTTGATTAATGGATTAAAAATAAACTCGGTCCGTAATCTTAGATACGGTATGAAAACACAAGCACAGCTGCATAGGCATGTCACGGCCTATGTCACATTTGATAAACAAAACCAATTTTACAAAACTTACTCCTAAATTACAACATTGATTCTCACAAAATTGAAATATAAATATATATTATTTTATAGGTCCATCTCTAGCCGTACATTGTAGGATCAGCGGTCCATCTTTATTAAAATTGTGGAGCATGATTGGACTATGGTGGGTCCCTTTATTTTATAGGTCCATCTCTAGCCGTTGACTAGCAAGATCACACCTGGTCTCTGCAAATCCGACCCTTGACTTCACCAAATCAAATTCCATCCACACGTTTTGTTGATGATGATTCCCAATCACAAACGCTTCAATCCCTAATAGATCAGAGTTTCCAAATGTGAAGCAATACACCGAATCACTCCCCTTACTCATCTCGGGCACCCGATATAATAGCCTCTCGCCCGATATGCCCATCTCGGCCCCGTCGAACATCAAACTGACTCGCGGTAAGTTCGAAAAATTCGTATCGACCGACTTGTTGATTTGGTAACAAAGATCCATTGCTTGTTGAAATACAAAGTTCGGATCCTCGAAAACTTGCAAAACTCCTCTTGTTTGTTGCAAAAACTCGTTTCTCATCGCGGTATAAACCGGACCCATTAAGAAAGTAAATTGGGTGCCCGAGTCGACTATTGTTTGACCCGCACCCGTGTGATCGGGTAAAAAAGCGGATCTTGGTAGGTCCAACATTTTATCCCCGACTTTAATACCCTCTAATTGGACGGTATATGCAACCCTATCAAAATATGGTAACGGGTCGGACATTTGTATTAAAGGAGTATAATTTAATGTTTTAAGCCATGAGAAGCTCGTATCACCGAGAAGTAAAACACCAGACGAGTCGAAACCCGATATACAATACGAGAATTTGAGAAAACCCATTTGTCTCACAAAAGATAAGGACCCACGGTTCATGCCCATTAACCCGGTTGTTTTTGAATCTTCGTCCGGATTCGAGCTAAAACCCGAGTCCATACACCCAAATAAAAACCCGGGTCGGGTCGAAGACCCGATTACGAAATTCTCATACGCGAGAGTTCCTTCAATCGAGGAAGCATCAGCATAAGAGATAGCCACGTGGCAAAGTTGATTATTCGGATCGCAGGAAGCCGGTATGGTTAAATCTCGGGTTCGGGTTTTACAAACCGGGAAAGCACAAGGGACGGGATTGTAAGAATTGGAAAGTTCGGGGGTAAAAGCGGAAGTTAAGTTGGGAGTTTTTTTACAGTGAAGCCATGACAGTTCACTCCCGGTGTCGAGGATCATGGTAACATTCTGCGGCGGCGAACCAACGGATAAAGAAACTGTTAAAGTAACGTTATGGTGGAAGCCAATCTTGTTGGTGGTGGCACCGGCGGCGTCGAAGGCGGAGGAGGAAAGTTCAGAGTTAAGGGCAAAGGTAAGCGGGGGACGACTAAGGGTCATTTTGAGAGGTAAAAAGAGTGTTTGTTTGGAAGGAAAACAAAAGTTTTGATGGAAAATGAGAAGGAAAATTGCGAAGCGAAGAAGAAAACGGAAACAAGACATTGATTTTCTTTCTTTGTGCTTTGATCTTCAGTTTTGTTGTGTACGTAGAAGCAACTGTTTGAATGTTCTTAGCATTTCTAGGAGCATTGGTTCCTTAAATAGTATTGAAAAAGTAATAAAATTTATTTTTTATTTGGAAAAGTAATAAAATTTATTTTTTATTTGGAAAAGCAATAAAATCATTTTTAATAAACTAAAATTATATCCAAATATATTTTTATTCAAACAGGGATAGACGAGAGGTGTTAAACGCACTTCATTTTGATAATTTTAAATTTTTGTATAATCTAAATATTTTATTATAAATTTTATTGACGATTTAATATCACATATTTTGAAAATTTTATAATTTTATATCATTTAAATTTTTAATATAAACACGAAACAAGTGATTTGGTGGCGAATAAATTATTATTATTCTTTGAAATCTCATATTCGAGCCTCACATATATAAATATATAAATATCTAATATCAAATAATTGAATTTTTATAAATATTAAATATATAAAAATCAAGTTTATCTCCTGAGATGAATCATAAGTGAAATTCATATTTTAATACTAGATATTCAATTGAATTTAAGGGTTCGTTTGTTTTCCGAAAAATATTTTTTAAAAAACGTTTTTTTTTCATTTTTTTGGTGTTTGGTTCACGGAAAACATGTTAGTCATTGTAAAAACATTTTTCTGGTCAACATAATTTTTTTTGTATTTTATGGAAATGACTTACGGTCTGATTTTTTATAAGTCATTTTCTGCACTTTTCACTTCAAAATATAAATACACAAAATAATATTATTTTATGTATTTAATGTTGATATAATATTTTAATACATTTTCATAAAAATATTAATTATTAAAATATTTAAAATATAGTAATTAATATTTTTAATATCATAATAATATAGTAAGTCATATTACAATAATATATGATATTATATTTTTAGTTTAATAATATATAATAAAGTATAAATAAATTTATATTATTTATTAATTTCATAAAATAAATGCTATTTGATTATTACTAATGAATAATATTATTTATGTACTTAATATTAATATAATAATCTAATAATATTTTAATAAAAATACTTCAAATGTGTTTATTAATAATTTAAAAAGCATACTATAATATTTTTATTTCAATAGAATATACTAATTTTAATATTTTTATTTATAATGTAGAAGTAATATTTTAGTTATAATGTTGACATAAACAATATTGAATAAATTATTATAACATTTTAAAAATAATAATATTAACTTTTTTATAATAAATAATATCTTTTATTATATTTAATATTTATAATAAATAATATAAAAAAATTATCAGCTAACGGAAAATGATTTATACAAATAACATCTCTCAAACACCGTAAAATATTTTTCAAAAAATATAATTCATTTTATAAAAATGTTTTCCATAAAATATTTTTAATAAAACAAACCGACCCTAAATTTAAAAATAAACAATTTATTTTTAAAAAAAAATTACAATATATATATATAAATGTACTAAAATCAATCAAAATCCACTGATCATGGCACCGAAATGAAGTTTGTTTTTGTATGTGGTGGTACAATTTATAATGAATTTAATGCTTCGTGGAAATGGGACAACAACAAAATAATAATAATAATAATAACAAATAGTTTCTTCAAAACACATTAAATATACACGGTTTGTTTGCGGCTCATTTGCTTCAGCCAAATGTCTACACTCATAAAAGTATCCATACATTCACCGAATACAAATAATACATATTTGAATAATTATTATTATTATTTTAAAAAAGGTAAAAGAATCATTTTTATCTCTGCATACCTGATTTATTTTTTTCCGTTCTTACCGTATTTTCGCATCAATTTACTCTTCGAAATTATTCAATTACGTCAATGTTTAAAATATTTACTATTGTTTAGGGTTTAAGTTAGAGTTTGGGATTTAGGGTTTGTGGTTTAGGGTTTAATGTTTTAAGTTAGAATTAGGGTATGGAATGATGCAATTAAACAACTTTAAGGGTTAAATTGATGCGAAAATACGATAAAGACGAAAATGATAAATTAGACCTACTACAGGAGTAAAATTATTGACTATTTTATTTTTTAAAAATTATATTTATTTATATAATATTCATATATAGTAAGATTTGAATCCACGTATAATTTAAAATTTATTATTAAATAAAAGTCTCATTTTTATTGGAATATAATATAATTGACTAACTTTTGGAAATTCAAAAGCTGTAAAAATGCATTAATTTCAAGTGAGAGTATAGTCTAAGGGTTAGACTATACTATTCATCAAACTAATCTCAACTTAGAGGAAAAAAAAAGTGAATTTCATTCTAGTTTTATATTTTTTAGGACCATTGGATTAAAGAAAATCATAAATTAAAATTAACTCTTTATTTTTTTTCAGTGAATATTTTTTCATTTTCTACTGTTAATCTCAGTATTTAATTTCTTTCATCAAATGATCATAAAAATATGTAAAACTAAAATAATTTAACCGTTTCTCTCTTATTTTTCTCTTAATTTTTATATATTTTTTCATCAATATAATTCATCGTTGATCGTTAACGGTATCTTTGTATTCTTATTCATTTATCTATATTGTAGATATATTTTCTTTTATGTATAGAAACTTGCAATTACTAAATATTTATTACAATTAAATTGTGATAAAACTATTTATTATTATTATTAATAATAATATATTTAATATTTTATAATTTATAAAACAATGAGATGAAATATCATCCGGGTCCAACCTTGTACCTCTCTGTAAAACATATAAATATTTAATTTTCAATATTAATTGCATTATGACAAAAATTGTTATTATCATCTTCCCAAAAAGAAAGAGACATTTTACATAGACGATAGTTAATTAATTAATTAATTATATAATTTTTTTAGAAAATAGTGCTGTTAGAATTTATTGCATTATTTTTATGGAGTTTAATGCATATTAATTACACATTTAATTCTAAAAAACATCACCTCAATCAAATTTAGATATTAATAACATTTTTGCTTTTATTTTCGAGTGGCAGCTAATAAATACAGAAAATATTAATAACACCATTTTTTAACTACAATGACATTTTTATTGGAGTCGGTATAAGTAAAATATTTAACAGTTTGAGTAGAAAATGTATACACTTGTCTTTAAAATTAACGGTAAACTATAGTAATGATTTGTATTTTGATTATCGAAAATAATTTTAGGGTAAATTATGGATTTTTTTAACTAAACTATTAATTTTGCTCCGTTTTAATACCTAAAACATTCATTTTTCCAAAAACTTTCATTTTTCCAAAACCATAGTTTACGTTTATTTTTGTTTCATTTTAGTATCTCACCGTGAGAAACTTAACGTGCGGGTTGACAGCGCATGGCTCCGATGGACTCACAATCAATCCAAATGGGGGACCACGGGAGAATGACGAGTCAACCAACATAGTCCAGTTTCAGGCCCATCGGACGATTGGTGACGAAGATTGGAGGATGAAAAAAATCGAAGAGAACATCTTCGATTTGGAGAGATTGAAGTTTTTTTCGGTGAAATGGAGGTCGAAATCATGTTTAGAGGGTCAAAAGAGTGTGGGCCGAAAAATTTGAGCTTCATTGGCCGACATATGAGGCAGTCGATGACTGTAGACGTAGCAACCACGAGCTCGTCCGTTAAGTTTTTAACGACGAGATACTAAAATGAAACAAAAACTAAACGATAGATATAATTTAAAAAAATAAAAAAAAACAAAATATTAAAACAAACCAAAACTGATAATTTGGGTACTAAATACATAATTTACCCATTTTTATTGGAGTCACTAGACTAAAGAATATTTTAATAAAAGAAATCTTAAGTTCGGTGACTATAATAAAGAAAAATTGATTTTTGTGACCAAATTATAGGGACTTTAAAAGTTTAGGGACCATTAATAAAATGAAAATAGCAAACGACCTAATATTTTTCTGAGTATTTCCATATATTCGAAAGAGCATATCCCATATCCATGTCGGATATGGAGCTCAACTTCACAGTAACATAGAAATTCTCGAACGTTTTCTCGACACTACATTAAGTCGACATGTCTTACATCGGCATCGGTTACGATCCTGGCCCCGATACGAAAACAATGAGCTTGAATTCATCATGTTAGAATGAATGCAGTTCCTTCCCAGAAAGGTATATTATTATACCCCTGGAAGCTGAAAATGGTTTAACAAGGGGTTCGAACATACTTACAGAGATGTGTTCTTCGATTTTTCATGTCGGAAAATTAGTTCCTGTGATAAAACAAGGAAAGACATTACCGGTGATTCATCTTTAGGACGAACATCTCAGGAGTTTCACTCTTTTCAACAATAATTACCTGAGAAATAAGTTAGCATCCCTTCAGATCATTCATCGTTTGCGTTTGGTGGTGTTCCACAGATTCAGTAAACATTCGACACCTTCTTGCAGGCTTGCCCTTCTTCCTTCTCCATAGTTCCATAACTCGGAAGTTACGTATCTTCCGCTCGGGTTGTATTCGTTTATTTCATTTATAACCGAAACGACCGACTTGTACACTTCATTGCCCATCTCATCCTTCAGATATCTTAGCTTTTCATCTTCATCGTCAATCACTTCCTGAACCAGCATTATCAAACTTTGAGCAAACTGTTTCATACCGACAGGAAAGAAACGGAACAAGGAACAAACAAAGGAGTGTTTCACAAGAAAAAAAAAACAGATTGATAACTTGTAAATTTATTTTCTTCCCAATTCTACGCCAAGAACTGAATTACGAACAGAAAGCCTGATTACATTCGTGGAAAGATAGCTCTCAACCAGCCAACAAGAAGCAAAGATAACACACATCGGTCGCTAAACTAAAAGGCGCGTGCAATTACTCGTGGCATGCATAGACAGAAATCTAATCTCGTACAAGTTTTCTACAATCGAGGGGGAAATGAGCAATGCAAGTTTAGAACTACCATGACGTAATGGCACGCTAGTCATGTTCTATAAAGGAACCACACCTAGGATCAAAGAAGCAGAGAGTATGATATACGACATCTTCGTATCAGCATTGTAGAGTTGAGAAATTGGGGTTGCAGAACAAATTTATAGGAGTCAAGAAATAAAGACCTGATCTTCGTCTCCCTCGAGTTTAATACGTTTAAAAGGATGCCAGTCTGGATCCTTCAGATATTCCTCCCACAATGAGCACATTTCCGAAGCTCTCTCCTCGGCTAGTTCCTCATTATACCTTCTCTTCATTGCTTCGAGGAACGGTTTACTGTCGAGTTCTCCCATTCTCTTGACACCAATATTTCCATGACTGGATAGTTCTCTTAATCCCTACAAAGTGAATGAATTAGTGCTTCCTGACTGGCAAGTATGATCAACCATAAAATTCCGCAGCAGAATTTTAAGAACTTATATGATGAGCATCGCAAAAATAGTTCACAAATCAATGCAGGGCAAGCATTTTAAAAGTCGAAAAGAAAAAGAACTCACGTTGATTAGTTCTTTGCGAGCTTCCTGCAGATCATTGTTGCTCTTACGTTCGCTTAATATAAGACTTTGGTTCAATGCTTCTAAATCTTCAAGCTCCATCTCCTTTTCTTTCAACTCCTTTAGACTTGCTTCCATTATTATCAGAACTACATCATCTTCATCTCTCATTGGCCTAATTGCATCCATTGACCCTCTCAGTTGCTCGATTTCCAGTTCTAATGCTTGTTTTTTATCTAATTGTTTCTCCAGTTGAATTATCCTATTATGAAGTTCCTCCTTCTGCCTCTGGAAAATTGATGGTCCAGTCATATCATCAATTCTCAGCATTCTAAAACAACCCAGTATTGTGGCATTAAAACGAAAAAAAGGATCGAATGACAAACAAACCTTGTGATCTTCAGCCAGTTTCATTAAATTTTCATCAGCCCTTTTTCGTTCCAAAGCAGCCAATTGTAATGCACTATTTTGAACAATGTTCTGGAAGAAGAAATATGTTAGCATTTACATTTTCCAGTAACTCTTTGATCGACATTCCTGAGAATGCAACTAAAATTGAAAATGCTGGAAGAGCAACTTTTGTTTTTCATTTCTATGCCTTTTCGATAAAACAAATTCATGGTAGGAAATCACCAAAACTATTGCCAAAAGTACCATTGAGTTCTGATGGAATCAAAAGTGGTGATTTCCTACCATAAAATGAAGAATGAAGCATGTTACCTCTTCGAGCTCCTCAGCCAACCTTTTTCTTTCACTTTCAATCAGCGTCTCTCGCTTTTCAAGTTCAACTTCACGCAACTCCAGGTTTTTTCTATGAGATTCTAGCAGTGACTTCCGTTTTTCGTGTTCATTGAAAACCTTCTGGAAGTGTAGCCTTGAACTTAGTTGACTCTTTTTAATCTCTGTGAACGGAGGCAAAACGGGTTGAACCTTTGAGATGAAAATAGTACCAGAAAACACTCTCAAAAATAAATGTAATGGAGACAAAAACAGTAATGACATGAAATAGACCCGATGAAAGCTTCCATCAGCAGAAGAAACTGAACATTCAGAAGCAGAACAAAACAAAGGAATATGAATGTATATATAATTTTACTAATGCAAGTATTTCCATGATAAAAACTTATGCTACAAGACAAGAGTTAAAACACACCTTCTTTAAGGTTATCTTTTTCTTCCATCAAATTTTTGAGGGACTTGGAAGTCATGGAACATATTGTTTCAATCTCATTCATGCGTTTGTTTTTAGTCTCGACGATATTTGTAAAATATGATACAAGTCTATTGTGTTTCCTTGCTTCTTCCTCAATCAGCCCGGAAATGGTTTTAAGGTCACTACTCTTGCGCAAATGTTCTCCAATAATACTACTCGACTTATAGTCATCGGCATGGGCAACCCAAGCATAAATACCATACTTAAAATCATTATTAGAACCCCAGTCCTTTTTCCCATGATGATCTGCCTCGTAAGAATTCTCAAATGACAAGGCATTATGTAGACCTGACCAGTCTTTACAGAATTCCACGACAGCAATTCCTGAATGACCACAGTGATTCCAAAGTGTGCGAACTCTTATGGGGTTGAACCCTCTACTGATCAACTCATCCCTCAACTTGGATCCACTTTCCCCTACAGCTCTTCCATCCTCTGACTTCCAAGTAGGAATATTAACTACAATTCCGGTCCATGGCCAAACAATTTTCTCATCATCGTCACAGCCACTAAGAGGATCCTCCTGAACCACAGGTTTCGATGAACTAACCAAAGGCATGAGACCTTTTTCCAAATATTTTGCCAACTCCAGGTGATTAGCTTTCTCTGTTGGTGTTCTTTTTTCAGAAGTACTATTTCCCACAGCAGAAGCATGCTGGACGAGATCCAAGTATCGGTAATTAGGCTTTTTCATCCCAGGACAATAGGGGCACATATAAGTTTCGTCCAAAACTTTGGCAACATACTTCCCATTCTCATTATGGTCACAGCCACCGAGAGGATCTACTGGAGCAGCAGGATTCAATGAACTAACCAAAGGTACAAGATCTTTTTCCAAATACTTCGCCAAAGCTAGGTGATTAGCTTTTACTAGTGATGATCTTTTTGCAGAACTACTATTTCCCAACCCAGAAGCGTGCTGGAGGAGATCCATGTATCGGTAATTTGGTTTTTTCTTCTCGTGACAATAGGGGCACACATAAGTTTCATCTGAAACTTTTACAATGTACTTCCCATTCTTTAGTTTTTCGTAAGATTTATCTACATACTTTCCCATTTCAGATTCCTTTATATTCAAACCATCTTCCAAGCTGATATCCATTGTCAAGGAAACCTAAAATGTAACAACAAAACAGAAAATCAAGCTACACCCAATAGGAAACCATGCACTACTTCCTTATTGGTTGAAACAATTAAAATATCTCTCCTTCAAATAGAAACCATGCAACCTAGTGGATAATTTGGAAATATAGAGATATTTTATGAACTCAGTAGCTTAAAAAACTTCAATGGAGTGAGATATGATTAATTACCTTGAAGCCCGGACACGTCTGCATAGGAGTGTAGAAGTCTATTTTGCTTTTAGTACCAGTGATGTTTGTCAAATATGATACAAGTCTATGTTGTTTCCTGGCTTCTTCCTCCATGAGCTTGGGGATGGTCTTAAGGTCACTAGTCTTGCGTAAATATTTTCCAATAATACTACTCGACATGTAGTCATCAGCACGGGCGACCCAAGCATAAAGACCATACTTAACATCATTATTAGCACCCCAATCCTTTTTCCCATGGTGATCTGCTTTGTAAGCCTCCTCAAATGACAAGGCATGCTGTAGCCCCGGCCAATCTTTATTGAATTCCACAACAGCAATCCCTGAATGACCATCGTAATTCCAAAGTGGGCTAACTGTTATGGGGTTGAACCCTCTCCTGATCAACTCATCCTTCAATGTGGATCCACCTCTTCCTATGGATCGCCCATTTTCTAACCTTCGAGTCGGGATATTAACCACAATTCCGGTCCACGGCCAAACAATTTTCTCATCTTGGTCACGACCACTAAGAGGATCCGCTTGAGTCATAGGTTTTGATGAACTAACCACAGGCATGGGAACTTTTTCCAAATTCTTTGACAAAGCCAGGTGATTGGTTTTCTTAATTGGTGTTTTTGCAGTACTATATCCCACACCAGAAGCATGCTGGACGAGATCCATGTATCGGTAATTTGGCTTTCCATCCGAAGTTTTGACAACAAACTTCCCATTCTCATCGTGGTCACAACCAGTAAGAGGAGCCTTTTGAGCCACAGATTTTGATGAACTAACTGCAGGCACGAGATCATTTTCCAAATACTTTGCCAAAGCCAGGTGACTGGCTTTCTCTATCGGTCTTCTTTTCGCAGAACTACTTTTTCCCAAACCAGAAGCATGCTGGACAAGATCGATGTATCGGTAATGTTGCTTTTTCTTCTGGGGACAATAGGGGCACAAATAAACCTCGTTCGAAACTTTGATAATGTACTTCCCCTTCTTTAGTTGTTCATAACATTTATCTACATACTTTCCCATTTCAGATTCTGCAATATCTGATCATCTCTCGAGTTGATATCCGTTCTCTAAGTAATCTAAAAGGTAACAAGAAAGCAGAAAAACAAACTTAACCAAATATAAAAATATGCATTTCCTTATATGTTTGAATAATTAAGAAGCCGATTAAATTACAAGATTTTTAAAGGTATTTCTCCTCCAAACAGAAACCATGCACACTGTCTAATGGATAATATGGAAACTGAATAGATATTTCATGAAACCAATAGCCTAGACAACTTCCACGGAAGCACCGGCAATTCTATTAGGGGAGAGTTCGAGTTTAGAACACCGATACGGCTCCGACGTGACATAAACAATTTTTTTAGATACACCACCTTTCTAACAAAATATATTAGCTAAACTACACAAGGTACATTATCCAAAACGAAACAATTGTTAACGGATTGTTTATGATAACCCCAATTCCATGCTTGTTTTCGACAATTACACTCGAGTCCGAGTAACATACAAGCAAAACCGAATAGCATAGTTTTAATTTGAATAGTTAGAATCAGTGTTGCATACAAGTAATTTGCTAATTTTGAATCATTATCATGTCCCATTTTCCATCATTACACAAAAGTGAATATAAAAGTAGAAGCAAACAAAACAGTTGAATTACTGTATCTAACCAAACAAACTATTTTTCCCTTTCTTCTTCAACTACATTTCCCAGGAAACAAACAAAGCTAGAATTGCAAGAAAATGAGTTGGATTAAAACATGCAGGAACCAAATGATCAAAAAAATTATTAAAAAAGAAAATGATTTGACTGAAGTCCATGGATTTCCACTGTTATTACAACAAAATTAAAGATTTTCATGAAAAAAAAATGAAGCTTTAAATGGAAAAAAAATAGATTTTACCTTCAGAAATTGGAGATTCGATTTTGAGATTCTCTACTTTCACCTAAGAGCTTAGATTTTGCCAATAATTCCTGTTCTTTTTAACGTATATTTGCGTTAAGGCCTCTTTGAAGGGTACAACCGTTCGGTCCGGTCTGACCCAGATAAGATTAATTTTATATTGGACCGATTTGGTTGGGTTTGGTTCAAAATTTTTAAAAAGAAGGTAAATTGACCCCTAAATTATACTAAATTACTCTTTTAATCCCGAGAGTTTCATTCCATCGTCATTTTTCATTCCATTGTTTAGTTATATAAACTATTAGTTTTACTCTGTTTTAATATTTAAATTTTTAATTTTTTAAAAGTTGTACTTAATATTTAGTTTTTGTTTTATTTTAGCATCCAGTCGTTAAAAAGCTTAATGTGTTTAGTACATAAACTATCAGTTTTGGTTTGTTTTAGTACCTAAATTTTTATTTTTTACCAAAAAATAAAATTAAGCTTTTAACAGGTACTAAAATAAAACAAAAAATAAAAATTAAGTATAAAAAATTGAAAGTTTAAGTATTAAAATGATCTAAAACTGATAGTTTATATATTAAATTTGTAATTTATCCAAATATTTAACATTAATTTTCCTTCGATTTTTCTCTTTTCATTGCCTTCTTTATATTTCAATAAGTTGAATGGTTTTAAAGCGTTTTTTCTTTCAAATTTTAATGATTAAAAAGCGTTTAAAAATATGAGTAAATCATATTAAAACTTTTGATATAACGTCCCATCCATATTTGAAGAATGGAGCATGAGTACCTCACATATAAATCTTGATTTTATCTTTTTAAAATGTTTTTATAAAAATAATTAATGACAAACTAGGGTTGAAAATAAGGATCGTCATGAAATTTGATGTTAAGGAAACGAATTTGAAATTAATGGGATGAATTTGAATTTATAAAATTTTAGGGAATTAATGCATGATGAGTTGTCACGGGCTAGGAACTTGGGTCCGAGACATTGGTGCAAGTGTTCGACAATGAGTCAAGATAGAGTATCGGGCTTGCCAATACATTAGTGCAAGTGTCCGACAAGGAGTCAAGACAGAGTATCGGGCTTGCCCAAGGCCACCAGACTTGACCCATCACTTGGAGAATGCTATGGAGCCCATTCACATTAGTCGTGCAGAAAAGAAAAGTGGCATCATATCTGAAGATGATCACATAAGCTCGGTAAATATGACAAGAAACAACAAAATCAATAAGATATTGTGAGAGAATCTTACAATATCTGGTGAAAACCTATCCAAGAAAAGAATCCTACTAATGGATGTAATTAGGTAAGATTTGGTTGTAATTCCTTGATTTAGGGGATTTGTTATTAATTGGACAAATATTAGCCGTTGATGTAAAACGATCATGGTCATTGATAGAGAGGAAGCTCAATTATAAATAAAGAGTTATCCTTTATTTTCATTCTCTTTGAGAGAGTAATAAAATCTATGAGACATTCACCCTATATTTTCAGAGTTCTTTATTCTTTGTTATTTTTGTGTTGTTGCCTATCTTGATGGCTAAGAGTAGCCACATTTGTGTTTGCACTTCCACACAATAGTCCGACTTTGGTGGCTTGGAGTAGCCACGTTGGTGTTAAAACTTCCGCAATCCTAGAAGCCTTGAGGGCTTGATTCAAACCTTTGTGAGTTTGCATGCTTACTTGGCTTAGGTAAAACTTACTTAATCGCAGAGAATACTAAGAAGCATCTAAAGCCAAATGACCCGTCAGACCTTAACTCTGATATTACGACAGTTTGAACTTGAAAGTTCTTAGGGCTTGAAAAGTAGAACATTCAAGAACTTAACAAAATGTAAGGTTTATGAAAAATATGTATAGTTTTTTTTATTTTGATATTTAAACTATAATTTATTTTATTTGATTTTTATGCATTAAATTATTCAAATTATCACGTCATTTTTTTACCGTGATTAGTAGAAAGGGCAAGAAAAAACAATAATAAAATAAAACTTTAAAAAGTCATTTTGGGAAAACAGAATAAGAAATAAAAGCCACGCGCTCTACAAGCAAGACGGCTTCTGCATGATGCACCTTAATAAACATATTTAATAAATAATATTATAAATTACATATTTAACACCTAAACTATTAGCTTTAATTTGTTTCAATATCTATATTTTTAATATTTTTAAAATCATACATAACGTTTAATTCAATCTTAGTATATCGTCGTTAAAATCTTAATGAATGATTTGCACGTGACACATTCTTACGGATTGCATCATTCATCACTCAACTATCTTCTCACTCATATTTAGGTCAATAAAATTGATTTTTTTTAAATTTAATTACGTATTTTTTCAAAGTACTAATAATTAAATCACTCTAACGTTCAAAAAATTTATTTTTAATCATATATTAATAAAATAATAATAAAATGTCATGTCATAAAATTTATTAATAAAATAAATTCAGTATCATTAAAGTTTCAACAATGAGATACTAAAATGAAACAAAACTAAACGTTAAAGTTTTAATTGATCCGAAATTCAAAATTTCAACATCCACAATCTCTTTTGTAATAAAAAAAGGGAACAAAACCCTTAAATACTTGAATTTTGGTTTGATTAAATAAAGCTAAAAGTCGAGGAGCACAATAAGGTAAAACAAACCTACTAGCATAAATTCTACCATATGATAAATGCCATATTAAGACCATGAGGAAACAAAACCCTTAAATACTTGAATTTTGGTTTGAATGTTAACAAGATGACTGTGATATGATAGTCATGTGAGATTCTAAGATAAGATTTTATCACATCATAGTCAACAGGTTAACATTCAATTCAGAATATTGTCCACGTTTTAACGAAAAATGACAAGTTTGGAACATAATGAACAGTCGGATGACCATTTTGTAACTTTTAATGGTCGATGAACTCAAGAAAGCAACGTTCTATAGTTGACATTTTTTAACTTTTAACAGTTGATTACATTTAATATATATATTTAATAAATGATGATATAATAAACTCTTATATCATGCTTATGTAGTGCTCGAATCTAGAATCTTAAGGGATAATAATAAGTCTCTTAATTACTAAAATCACTTTATTAAGGAAGAGTTAATAATGTTTCACTTGTTCGAAAATGGGTCAAATATTTTTAAATTTATTCAAATAAGAACTTATCATTTTTTAATTTGCTTAAAAAAAGAGTTTATAATTTTCGAATCTGCTCAAAAAAGGGTTCACTTTTTCAGTAATCTAAATATTTTTTAGTTCATTCAAATATTTTTTTAATAAATTTTTCAAGGGAATAAGAATGTAATTCTTTACTTGCACTGATTAATATCCAAACCAAGAGAATAAATTAGCCCAACATGCCTCACTAATTATTTGAGCATAAAATATTTATTTTATTTAAAAATTAAAATTCCAAATATTTTATAAATAATAATTTTAAATTTTAGATTTAGATTCAGAATGTTGACAGAGGTCGAAATATTAAATTATTTAAGAAAAATATAAAGACTTATTAGATATTTAAACTTGAAATTCAACATGAACCAATCGACCTTAGTGATTAAGGGATTGTTGTTATCCTTGAGGTCCCGAGTTCAAGCACGTATGTAGGGATATGAGCGTTCATTGTCAAATAGTTGAAAATTTTTGTACAGAGATTACCTTGTATTCACCCTAAATAAAAAAACCTCAAAACTCAAAAGACAACTTATAATTTGTCTAATATTTAAACTTACAATGACTTAAATTATAATTAGACCAAAAATTTGAGAACACAAACTTGTCATTCTTTAGTTCGACCCCTACTAGATTAAATATTTAATAATTTTTTATATTTTTAAATTTAAATATTTGTTTTTACATGAATCAAATTATTATTAAACTAAAATTATATCAAATATATAAATTTTAACAGGGGTTAGACGGGTTTAGGCCCTAGGGGAGCTCTGTCCCTATATATATAGATTAATAAATGTTTTTTTAGATTAGCACTTCTTCCTCTGCTTCACAAGTGGCTTAATTATTAATAAGTTTATAATAGGGTTATTATATTTAATTTTTTTTTAGATTATTCAATTAATTGAATTGATAAATCTTAAGCGAATATTATCTTTTCGGATAAAAAATCATATTTAGGTTATTCAACTATGAGTAAATATATATTTTGATCACTTAACTTTTAGTTGCAAGCCAACATTCTTTTATTTTATTTTACTTTTTTATAGGTTGGTGTTGTAACACCCCAACCCGTACCCGACCCGGATACGAGTCCGAGATGTCACATTGACTTTTTAAAACAATATTTTTAACAAATAACATAGCATTTAGACTTATATTAACTAAATATGATAATATACATAGTTTTATACAAACTTTACAAAATACTCAGAGCATACACAACTTAAACATTTGATTACATGCCAACATTAATTACATAACAAAATGAGCTACTATTTAAGTTGTTTCTTATCTGATAGTTGTAGGAGAAATGCTGTCCAGCTGACTATTCTTGTTTGTCTACCTTCTCTGATCCTATGTGTGAAACGCTCACACGCTAAGTCATCGACTTAGTGAGGCATAATGATAATAACAATAAAATGTAATAATAATGCCATAATGAGATGCATTATCATGAAATCTTATATTCCATTCATGCAGTTTACATAATCATGTTTCTTACACATAAGCTTATCCATTTAACCTTCATGAATTATTATTAATAATTTCACTAGCCCATGATACAATACTGAGAACCAAATATATGTGAGTACTGTGAGGTTATGCACTATGTTGTCACCACAATTCGCATAAATGCACCGAAGTGTCGCGTAGAAATGCACTGAAGTGCCATATAAGATGTCCATAAGGACCACATAGAAATTCCTTAAGAATCATATAAATATGCCAAGGATCAAATATGTGTCTCAAAAGACATCATAAATGTTCCAAAGAATACATATATGTCCCGAAGGACTACGTAGACCCTCTACTCTTGGCATGCCAACTATACATATAGTTCTCTTCTACATAACATGGCCTTTTCACAATTCACATAGT